ATTTGGCTGGACACTACCAGTTGTGTGTTTAGACTGTGTGTGTGTGTGTGTGCGCGGGTGCGTGCCTTCAGGGCTGAGCAGCACCTCCTTCTTTCTGTGGTAGCATGTTACTCAGAACCTTGGATAACTCCCAGCCCTCCTAAAAACACAATACATGTAACCAGTTCATTTCCCATTTACCACTGAGGCCAGCTCATCTTTGCTGAAGAGGGTTCTTGACTTACTTTGTAGCAGGAACTCCTAAGTTAATCAAGCCTTTGCAAGAGTTTCATGAGCCGTGTATGAAAGAATTAATCATATTTCATATGCAAGAATGCTCTCTGTTTGTGGGAGAGAGTGGCAAGGGTGCTGGGTAAGTTTCTGCAGGGTCAGAGAAGGCAGAGACCATGATTGTGTGTTGCAGGGACAGTTAGGGCCTTGCAAGCTCACAGTGGGGCAAGGGCCATTAACGACAATATAAAAAGGAGGGTACTTGCTGACGTCTCTTATTTACATCTCTTATTTTTCTTCTAATATCTAGCCATGTCATACATGTTAAGAACTATCATTCAGGAAAACAGTGAAGTGACTATGTATTTTACAAATACATGATTGAAAAGGCTGTATATTTTTCTTACTCAGCTTATTTGTATCTGTAGAGTATGTGTAATTTTTCCATGTGCAAAAATGCTGTTCGTTTGTAATAGACTACTGATTTTACCATATATTTGAGCAAAACTGAAGAAATAATAAGGAACATTGGTATTTGTGCAGAAATATGATAAATGTTTAACCATGGTGCTCATTAAGTTAAAAGCTCATTTTGCTCCTGCTTTGGAAGAATCGGCCTAATGTGTTTGACATTTGAAACATAAATAACCCCAGAGCTTTGTGGGGTCCGAGGCAAGTGGATTACCTGAGGCCGGTAGTTCGAGACCAGCCTGACCAACATGAGGAAACCTTTCTGCCTCTACTAAAAACATAAAATTATCCAGGCATGGTGGTGCATGCCTGGAATCCCAGCCACTTGGAAGGCTAAGGCAGGAGAATCGCTTAAACCTGGGAGGCAGAAGTTGTGGTGAGCCAAGAAGATCACACCATTGCCCTCTAGGAAACGCCATCTCAAAAGAAAAGAAAAATAAGTAACTCAGAGATTATACAATGAAATAAACTTATTGAATGTTATCTGTTTTAAAAATGTCAGCATTGCTTTGTAAATACATTCCTTGACATTGCAGCATTTTCAAAAAGTTAACTACACTTTTGCAATCTTAAAATGTTTTAAATTTTCTTTCTGAGTTTTTCCACAGTTTATTAAGGAAAGAGGCATAAAAGGAAAACAATAGAAATGTTTTGTTGTAAAGGTGACCTAACAGATAAGTTTAAATATAGGGAATTGGGCACTGTGTTGAATGTCTCATTAGCACATAAGTGATCTTAAATAAATGTCTAGTGTATTAGACACTCTTTTAGACAAATTTATCAGAGCTCTGCTTCCTAGGACACGCTGGCAACATATTTCAGGAAGGATGTGATGATTCTAACGCAGGCTTTGAGCTGTGAGAGCAATACAGCAGTGAAGACTCACGAACATTAGCCCCAGAAATTTTAGGGGACAAGAAGGAAAGAAAAGTCTCTGCTGCATATTTTCCAGACACCAAATAGCATAAAAGGGCAGTATGATACTACAAACTTTGGCTAATAAAACAAACTGACACAATTAAATGACTATTGAAAATAAACATTGTGGTTTCAAAGATTTATTGATGATTTAGGGTGAAGTTTTTATATTATGCACTATCTTAATGTGGGACTATTCCCTTTCTTTTTGTTTATTTAATAAATATTTGTGAAGCACCTGTATCCACCAGGCACTATTTTAGGTGCTGGTGTTTCAGTGGTAGACAGAGCCCCTGCACTCACACAGTTCTCACTTTGTGGGTCAGGATGCAGACAGCAAATCAGTAAACAGACACAAATACATGACACAATTTCAAATGCCAGGTATTTAAAGCATTCCACCTGATTTTTCTGAAGGAGGGGGCAAATAACTTTCTGCTGGCTTAGATCTGTGGACACAGATCTACACATATCTTACAAACTATGATTTGTAAGAAACTATGGTTACTCAGAAAAATACAGGAGTATTTATGTCTTTATTACACATATATAATCAATAAGGGCCCTGGGCATTTGATTTTTATTTTATTTCAATGATAAAATGTATTTAGTAATGTTAGTTGTCATAGTTACTAGTGCTGATTTAATGTTAGTGAATTTACTTCACATTTAGCATAGGAAAAGTGTGAATTTATTATTTGTAAATTAGAAACACAGAATAAAACCTAATTACATTACTTGTTCTGGTATAAGAATCAGCATATGTGAATTATTTTTGCATTTGCTGAATTATAACAAAGTTCTTAACAAAAATGAGAGGTATTAAAGGCCCACAGCAATGGTTCTTAAAATTCACTGTGTGCTTAGGGATTGATTACCCATGAATACTGATAAAAGGCAGATTCTAGAGCTCTGACATAGCACATTCTGATTCTTTTATGTGTTCAGGAATCTGGGTTTTCAATAAGCATCTTGAGTGATTCTAATAAAGATGGTCCTGGAACCCCACGGAGACCCACTCTTTTGTTGGGTTGTATCAGATATACATGAGTTGATTTTTTCTTTTATTTTTCAATGACACTCAAGCCAACTGCAAAGGGAATAATTTTCAGTAGTCTCTGACATAAGTATCTAGGAACCAGTAATGGAATATATTTTACACAAAAAGTAATAGAGTAGTTTTATGCCATAAGACCAAAGTTCCTGGCTCCCATTCTAGAATAATGTAGTATTGTTTAATTGATTAACAGGTGGCTGCTAACTAAAAAAAGATAAATATGTATAGAATTAGAGAAATACTGTCCAGAAGGATAGAGTCTAATAGTGCCTGGAATTTTGAAATCATCAATCAGAGTAATAATTTTAAATGTGCCACAAGATAATACCATATTCCAAATAAGTTATACATTCATTTGCTTAACTTTCATCCATGAAATATAATTACTGCTTGTTCTTTTGAAATTCTTTCCTACTGTGTAGTTTGTAAAAGCTCAAAATAGATCAAAACTAGTTACCCTATTTACTTCTGTAAACACGAAACTCTGTTAAAGCTTTTAGGCGAAGTAAGCCCAAATATGCTATGTTCTGTCATGTATGACTAAAATAAAAATTCAGCCTAAGGAAACTCCTTTTGTAAATATTATTTGTACTACAAAAAGTACAGAAGTTAGCTGGGCATGTTGGCGCACAGAGACTGTATTGTTGTAGTGGCCCGAGCATAGAAAGTCAACGCCAAGACAAAAGTATGCCAAATTGCAGGGTTTTTATTGCCGGCAGCCACGGAGGAATCCTGTCTCTCCAACCCGTGGCCCCGAAAGGAGGGTGTCAAGATTTTTTATACCCTAAAACCACCTCAGGGCTGAGGGTGAGGAACGGGGATGGGGATGAGGGGCTTCAGACATTCCGAGGGCTAGTGGATTCTGTAAATCGAGGGTGCAGGGCTCTGGACATTCCAAGGGCCAGGGGACTTTTGTCACTCCGATTGTTAGTTAAGTGGTTTATAGAAGTCAAGAAAAGCATTAGTTTACACATTGTCTTGGTAGGGTGGAAATGACAGTCCTTAATTACTTATTACAAGTCGCAGGTGCCAAGATGGCATAAGTTTGGACTGCTTGCCTGTCACATTTGGGTTACAGAGAGCAGTTTCAATAGAAAGTCGAGGTATGGTTGAGGTATGCAGTTTTATGGGGTTCTTACCATGTCACAGTATCTCCATGCTGCCTACTCTAGGTGGTAGTATGTTCCCAACACACATCTTTAATGGTTTAAAATGGTATTACAATTTTTCCTTCAGTTTGTGTGCTCTGCCAGCTGTATGCTTCCTCTGCACATTTCCAAAGTGAAGAAAATGAAAAAATCTTTTTTTCTAATACTATATTAATAGACAAATCTACATTTTTGGATTAATATTCTTAACTCAATAGGTTGCTCTCTAATTGATTACAAATCCCACTGGAACACTTCCCCAGGTTGACTGAAGGTCCAGGTTTTTTCTTATTCTTCTTTCCATCCTCTCTTTAATTTCAGCTGAGAATCTACCAAACTAAGATTACATTGACCACTCAATTTTAGGCAGAAAGGGACTGCATTGATTAGTTCGACTGCCTCCTTTTCAAAGAAACTAAAGCCCACGGACTGATTTACCAAAGTGTGTGTATTCTTATCTGTGCTGTCCTATTCAAGATCCTGGACTAGTCATAAAGCAAACGATATAACTGCTACCTGATGGGAATTTCTGGAATGGGTTTAGATGTGAGAAAGACAAAGGTCTAGTGGCAAAGTCAGCTCTGGAGGTTGGTTACTTGGATTCCAATCTACTTAGTTGTGTGTTCTTGGGCAAAATACATAACTTTTCTGTGCCTCAATTTATTTGAAAGATGGTGTGTAATAGTATCTATCTCAAATTGTGAGAATTATTGAGCTATTCTACCAAAAGTATTAAAACATGTGGTTAAACTCCCAGTAAACACTATTTTTACTTGAATTACAAACTGCCAAACCCTTAAGTCTTGAGCTCCCAAGGGGAATTAGGAACCCTCCTGTGGCATTCCTCTTCTAAAAGTCTGCTGAACAAAAGTTGATGTCACATTTTCAAAGAGCTCAAATGGATTACTTTTATGAAGTTTGGGGCAAATGAATTATACATATATATGACCCTCTGTCAACACCCAGAAGGTATGTGGACACGCAGAATTCAAAAGTCTGAGGGTGACTGTGCTTGGGGTGAAGGGATGCTTAGAAACTGACTCTTAAGAGGGAGGCAGGATGTTCAATAAGAGCGGCTGGTGACCAAAGAACTAAACTAACGCAACAAAGGTGAGTCGGTCTCCCTGCGACCACAGGCGTCCAACCCAGGAGCACCTCCCTCTGCCTGGAAGGCCCAGGTGCGGCTGGCGACACCACGGGATTGTTCTCAACTTTGCACCTTTACACAGCAGTTTCGAAGACAAAGGGGCTTTTCAGCTAGGTTTGGTTTACCGTTCCCTCCTCCCAGGCCCAAGCTTGGTGCCCAATGTCCTCAGCAATGACTGGGACGTCCCTACTTTGCTCCTTTTTCTTGGGGCCACTGCCCACCCCTAGGTTGCCCACTGTCCCTCCTAGAGAGGTGGATGGCGGTGACATTCCAGGGAGAACAAAGGGAGGAGTGAGGGGGCAAAGACGGCCTTCTAAAGTCCCACCCTGGAAAGACATCCCACCATGCCCGCGAGGCACCCTCAGGCTATAGCCTTCGACAAGGGAGGCCTTTGCCCCGCCCCTTGGCATGGGGGAGGGGTGTGGTGCCACCGGCGCTCTCTGATTGGATGCTGCCTCACGGTTCCAAGCCGCGATTGTGCAGTGGGTGGCCGTCGGCACCTGCGTGCCCAAAGTGGGGAACCGGCCCTGGGGAGTTGCTGGAAGTTGGAGTCGGGGGAGCGGTCACTGGCAGCAAGCGTGGGCGGCGGCCAGTCGAAAAGATGAGAGCAGTCCCTAGTCTAAGCCTTTCCGTCGCTCTCCGGCACCACTAGTACCATGGACTCCACCCTGCCGCGGCCCCTTGGCGACGCGGTGCAGCTGCCACTCGACCAGCTGGATTCAGGTACCGCGAGGCACCCGGGCAACGGGCACGCGCCCACGCCGCCCCTTGCGGCAATGGTGCTGCGAGACCGGGGGTTTGGGGGGGTGGGGACTGGGGCCCACTGTCCCTGGAAGGGAGGGGGAGACAAGTTAGTCTCAGTGACCTCTGGCTCCCGCTGGCCTCCTCCCTGCCTCCGCGGCGTGCGCCCCAGACCCCCATCCACCGCCCAGGGCCGGGGTGGTCCGGGCGTTGGTGCTGGCAACAGCCCCGGGTAGGGTCTTCATGTAGACTTGAGGGTGTGCATGCCGGTCTCTGCCCTCCACCACACAGGCTGAGATGTAGACGGAGCAGAAGGCTGTACTCCGGGGAGGCCGGCATGGTGGTGCCTGCCCGGTGGGTGGCTCTGAACGACCCCTGGAAAGGCGGTTGCATGGGTCTAGGTGTGAATGGTGCATTAGAGATGGCATCGATGGGTGCAAGGGGCACAGAGAAGCTTAAATGCTACTGCACTTTGGGGACATTTTGCATTGGAGTGTGGTTTAAAGGGAGACAGAGGCAACAGTTTTGGGAAAGGCAGAGGTTATGAAGAAAAGTGAGAGGGAGTTATCCCCAGGATTCTAGCTGAGAAAGTTGCAGCCTTGTAGATAGAAGTAGCCACCCTTACCTCCTGGCCCAACCGTCAAAAAAGTAGTTGGCAGTGTTCAGGGAAGGGTGGCATTTAAATGAGGCCAGTTGAGTTTGATGGTTAAAGGGCCTAAGGATTACTGAGAAATCAACAATATTGTGTCTTTATTCCGCAAAGAAAGCTTGGAAGTATTTTGTTGGGAGAATTCAGCATAAGATTTAAGGAAGTTGTTGATGCTGGGTGTGGGAGGCAGAGTTAGGTGATTGCTCTAGCCCCAAGCTAAAGGTAGTTGACTTTGGAAATTTGGCTTAGAATTACTAGTATCGTACTTAACTTAGAAATAAGTGTGTGCACTTTACAAAGGATACTGGTTCACTGTACTTAGCTGGAATGTGCTCATGTTGTTTAGAAATCCTTAGGGGATTTCATTTATAATACAGATTATCTTTTATCCAGACTGCTTTTCCTAGCAGCAACCTGGAGACCTGACATGAGGGTACAGGCTACCTTGCACTTTACTCTTTTAAATAAATTTATGTGGAACAAGTGTTAAATGAAAAATAATTAAATAAAAAAATAAATCTGCCTTCTGTTGAAATCTCTTATTGTGGTCATCCTCACCTATCTTTAACAGCAGTTATAAAGCTGCGAATAAAGTATTGGTAGTGAAATTAATCGTGTATTTGAAGAAAATGCTATTCTGTTTATTAATAAATTGATCAGAATTTAGTGTTTTTCATCTTCTCAGCCCTGTGGAAGTGTTGTACTGGCCCAAGCATAGAAAGTCAACACCAAGACAAAAGTATGCCAAATTGCAGGGTCTTTATTGCCGGCAGCCACGGAGGACTCCTGTCTCTCCAACCCGTGGCCCCAAAAGGAGGGTGTCAAGACCTTTTATACCCATAAAACCACCTCAGGAATGAGGGTGAGTGGCAGGGATGGGGGTGAGGGGCTTCAGACGTTCTGAGGGCTAGTGGATTCTATAAATTACCTCCTGGGCGAAGATGAGGGTGAGGGACTTTGGACATTATGATTGTTACTTAAGTGGTTCACAAAAGTCAAGATTAGCATTTGTTTACACATTGTCTGGGTAGCATGGAAATTACAGTTCTTAATTACTTGTTACAAGTCGCAGGGGCGGCATGAGTTTGGACTGCTTGCCTGTCACATTTGGGTTACAGAGAGCAGTTTCAATAGAAAGCCGAGGTATGGTTGAGGTATGCAGTTTTATGGGGCTCTTACAATGTCACAGAAGATCATTGTTGTTTTGGTCTGTTGAAGATGCAGTGTAGCATGTCACACTTCTGATTTAAACAGGCTGTTGCCAGTGTATCAGCAAATGCAGGGTAAGTGTCTATAAAAAAAACATATTGCTGATGAGGAGCAAGGGAGGTAGCCATATATATACATTTACTGCATTTCTTTCAGGGAGACCGGCATGTGTTCACATTGTCTCTTTCTCTTTCCCCTTTCTTTTCCTTTCTCCGAACCCTGTGTCTGCCATAGGCTTACCCCTCCCTCCCATGCCAAAATATTTTCTTTGTTACGCTAATAGTACCTTTTAATTTATATAATGCTTATAACTTTTTAAAAGTGATTTTGTAGTAATGAACTCATTTAAACATCTCAGTAACTTTCCAGAACTGAAATAATCAGGAGAATCATGGGAAGGAGACAGGACTTAAAACTTTTTGACATATCTTTCTTTGTTTAGCTGAAGGTCTTGAGTTTGTAGCTTGGGACTACTATAAATTTGTACAGCCACATATAGCCCTAATTTGTGTAGTACAGTTTTGTGTACTGCATAGCGCCAGTGAGGTCATCGGAGCTCATATATGATTTTGGTCCCACGCATTATAAGGGAGCTGAAAAATTCCCATTGCCTAGTGAAGCTGTAGTATTCATAATTTTTTAGTTACTCATGCTTTTGTGGTGATGCTGGTGTAAACTTACTGTGTAGCCAGTCCCTGTAAAAGTGTAGCATATGCAATTATGTACAGTACATAATACTTGGTAACGTTAAATACATTATTGGTTTGTGTATTTTCTACCCATTTTATCATTGTTTTAGTGTGTACTTTTGTTGATTAAAAAGAAAAGTTAACTACAGAGCAGCCTGAGGGCCTTTCAGCTACATGCATGTTATTGCCCCTGAAAACCTTTCAGTGGGATGAGATTGGAGGTGGAAGACAGTGATGTGCATGATCTGGACCCTGTGTAGGCCTAGGCTAGTGAGTGAGTGTGTCTTAGTGTTTAACAAAAAGTTTTAAAATTAAAAATAGAACAAAGCTTATAGAATTAGGATATAAGGAAAGAATATTTTGTACAGATGTACAATGTGTGTTTTAAGCTAAGTGCAATTATAGAAGAATTTAAAAGTTTGTAAAATAAAGAAAGTTACAGTAAACCAAGGTTAACTGAAGAAGGAAGAACTTTTCAGTGTAGCCTAAGTGTAAAGTTATTATAAAGTCAATAGTGGTGTAGAGCAATGTCTTAGACCTTAACATTCATTCACCACCCACTTACCCACAACAACATTTAGTCCTGCAGTCTCCATTCATGGTTAGTGCCCTGTATAGGTATACCATTTTTTATCTTATATGCCATATTTTTACAGTAACACACATACTATAGTATTTATTACAGTAAGCTGCTATAGAGGTCTGTAACCTAGAAGTAATAGACTGTACCATCTAGGCACATGTGTAGTAGGCTAGACTACTGTGTAAGTCCACTGTGATGTCCACAGTGAATTGCCTAATGATGCATTTTTAAGAATGTACCCCCATTATTAAGCAACACATGAGTATATTTACAGTCATTTTCTATTTGAGCAAGTCTTGAGAATATTTGATGAATACCATATAAGCCTTAACTTTTCATACTGTTAATTGTTTCTTTGAAGCACCTAAGAATTGACTTGCTTATTGATGAAGTTCTTGAAATAACTAAAAACTCATATTGTAAAATTAGATGAATGAAATCATTTAGCTATCATTTTTAAATTGAGCATTTTAGAGAAAACATGGGACATTTTTATAATGTAAATAGTCCAGGTTGAGAAAAAGTTTAGGAATTTGTTGTAATCAAATAGTGTGAGTGTCAGCAGGAAAAAGCCAAATCAGGAAATGAAAAGTGCAAAAATACAACTTACCAGTATGTTAATTTGGTATGTGCAAATTAACAGTGTTTTGAAAAATTAGAAAATTATAGAAGTAGTTGTTTAATGTCAGATGAACAAAAGGACTTCAGTGTAACAAAAACAGTTAACTTTTTACTAGAGTGAGTATAGAATTTATGAGATGATAGAAATTATTGATCCATATGAAATGTAAGAACATGCCTTGCGGGACCAGGTAGCAGAAGGGAGGAAGTGTTTTGCAATAAGGCTGAGGCCAGGGAAGGAAAAGGAGCAAAAGATCTTGCTGTTGACTCCTGTATTGTTTAATCTTTATTGATAATTTCAGAGTGACCTTGATGTAGCCATAGTATTTGTTCAGTAGGCCTTAAATCTTAGTAAAAGATCTATTTTCAAGTGAGGTTACACCATGCTGTAAGATAGGAAGTATCTAGCATCTGAGGTTTGTTTGCCTTTGTAGGCCTTGATTTTATTTCTAGGGTAATGTTTAGTAGGTGATTTTGATTAAAGGAAAATATGGAGAGAAGGTTTTGAGGAAGAAATTGGACTAAGGGAGAGCTGTGCCATGAAAAGGGCCAGATGTGTTATTTAGAAGACATCAGATATCATTGAGCATATTTGTGTTCTTTGTTAATTTCTGATATGCTGATGTTCAGTTCATCTGTAACTTGAAAAGTAAGGTGGGCTGGGTAGGTGGCTCACGCCTGTAATCCCAGCCCTTTGGGAGGCTGGGGTAGGTGAATCACCTGAGGTCAGGATTTCAAGACCAGCCTGACCAAAATGGTGAAATCCCGTCTTTACTAGAAATACAAAAATTAGCCAGGCATGGTTGTGCATGCCGGTAATCCCAGCTCCTCAGGAGGCTGAGGCAGGAGAATAGCCTGAACTGGGAGGCAGAGGTTGCAGTGAGCGGATTGCATTCCAGCCTGGGCAATAGGAGTGAAACTCTGTCTATGGGGAGTGGTGGGGAAGTAAGGCAGAATGAATCAACTATTTCATAATGTTTTTGCTGTTTGTGAGTGGATTCTTTTTTTTATAATATAAATATGTTTGACATTTTTGCATTTTCAATTTCATTTGTGTTTACACTAGTATTACGTATGCTAATAGGGAACTGAAATTTTTTATCTGATTTAGAAAGTAATACGTGTTTATGGTATAAAATTTATAAAATAAAAATGCATAACTGTGAAAGTTTAAAAATCACTCATTTTCCTTCACTCCAGGGAAAGCTTCTGTTAATTTTTTTAGAATGCATGTGTATGTTGAAACAGAATTAGAGTCACACTGAATATAAAGTTATTGCAACACAGCCATCATATCATGAGGAATCTCGGGGCACATAAAGATGCCATGTGTCAGTGCTTGAACCTACAGGCTCAGCTAAAGTCTCAGGTGACCGACAGCATTCACCATATGACATGTGAGTCAGTGAGCCTTTAGATAACAGTCAAGCTGCTGGCAAATAGAGAAGGAATGAAGTGTCCATGCTGATCCATGTCCAAATTGCAGATTCCAGAGCAAATGATATGTTAGTGTTTTCAGCCACCAAATTCAAGGGTAATTTTTAGGTCATTAGAGTATTCATTTGGCGATCATATATTTTAAAGTAATTATAATTGAAGTATAACGTATATAGAGAAATGCATAGATCTTAAGTGTGCAGTTTGATTTATTTTGACAAATGTGTACATGTATGTAACTCATACTGTGTAACCCTTGTAAAGGTGAACATGGTATGCCAAAGTAAACAAAGTGTAAGTATTAGATGATAAGTAAAAGAGATTGAGAGGCCTCTGGTTTAAGAAAAATATGATAGGAAGCCATCAGATTTTTAGAAATACACTTTGTATTTTAGAAGAGTTTTAAATATACAGAAAGTTGTGAAAATAGTAGAGAGAGTTTCCGAATAACTTACATCCAGTTTTCCTATTGTTACCCTGTTACATTACAATTAGTAAAGTAATATTGATACACTATTATTGACTAAATTCCATACATAATTGATTTCTTTAGTTTTTACTTAAGGTCTGTATCAGTTAGCTGCCATGTGGGTATGTTTTTTGAGTCTTACGTTTTTTTTCTTCTTAGTGGGAAACCAGTCAGAAGTGGGACGCCTCTGAACAAACTGTATACTGTGTAGCCGCCAGCTTCTGCTTTCTCGAGGCAGAACGCTGGCCCTCGGTGCCTCTTTCTGCTTCCCCTTGTTCAGACCACTGAGGACTGCCACTGTCCTGTCTGACTCCTGTTTTGGTGAGCGATATAGGGAGGCTGAGGGATTGATATTATTTGGCTCCATATTTTAGAAAGATAATTTGGTAGTTACATAAAGTATGTCTAGTTTGACCAGTACCATTTATAACTTTAAATTGTTGTACCGAAATTGATCCTTCATTATTTAGAAAATATACTTTAAAGTTAATAATACTGAAAGAGATTCTTTCCTTTTGCCTTCCCTGTCCTTTAGTTCTTTATTTATTTTTAGAGATTTTGTACTGGCTCATCTTCCCTTTCCTGGGGATTTGATTTTAAAAATTAGATTTGCAAGAGCTTATCCTTTTAGAGAATGATGAAAACCACTTGTACTTGAACTTAAGGAAATTTTTTAAGTTCCCTGTGTGCCCTTTTCAGATCACATCCCAGAGGAGAGACTTCTGCAATATTGTGTTAACCATTTCCTTCCTTTCTTCAAATGTTATCCACAAATGTATATATGTATGTGGTAAGAAGCATGAAATTTGCCATCTTAACCATCTTTAAGTGGGTAGTTCAGTAGTGATGAGTGTATTCACAACATTGAGTACTAGATCTCTACTTTTACATCTTACAGAACTGAAACTGTATATTAATTAATAAACTCTATTTCCTACAGGTCCAGCAGCTGGCCTTTTGTTTCTATGAATTTGACTATTCTAGATACTTCATATAAGTGGAAACTTACAGCGTTTGTCTTTTTGGGAGTGGCATCTCTGAGTTAGCATGTCTTCAGGGTTCATCCATGTTGTCACATATGATATATGTTACATGACTCATAAAACCCAGAATTTCTTTTCTATTGAAAAGCTGAATAATGTTCCATTTATAAGTTCTTAATCTTCATGTGACTGAATTTATAACATTCATATTTAAAGTGTGTTTATACCTAGTTTAGGAAGTTCTTCTGTATCCTGAGATCAAAACGATAGCCTCCTGTATTTTTAAGAAATATTTTTTCTCTGTTTTAAAACAAGATTAAATTTACAGGAAGGTTTTCAGTACAATTCAGAGGCCGAGGCAGGTGGATCACAAGGTCAAGAGCTCGAGACCATCCTGGTCAACATGGTGAAACCCCGTCCCTACTAAAAATACAAAAAATTAGCTGGGCATGGTGGCACATGCCTGTAATCTCAGCTAATAAGGAGGCTGAGGCAGGAGAGTTGCCTGAACCCAGGGAGGTTGCAATGAGCCAAGATGGCGCCATTGCACTCCAGCCTGGGTAACAAGAGCGAAACTCTGTCTCAAAAAAAAAAAAAAAAAAAAAAAAAAAAGCCAGTTTTCTTAGCGGCTATAGGGCTATTTAAATTCATATTGGGTGAGTTGTTATAGTTTGTGTTTTTTTCTGGAATTGGTGCATTTCATCTAAGAAATTTCATTTTAGCTAATCTATGTGCAGTTTTCTTCCTTACCTTGTATAGATATATTTTCAATGAAAAGATAATCTAATACATATATTTATAAAAATAAATGCACATTTTATATTTGTATCATGTAATTTTATATCTGTATCATATACTTTGGATCAAGCTCTAGATGTAGCCAAGATCTCAGGGGCAGGCTATTTTCAGCACTGATGGGAGACTCAGTGACCTGTGAAATCTGTGTCTCTACACACTTCAGAGTTTGCTCTGCATGAGTCTCTGCCCATACAAATAGCTAGACTGTGGCTATATGACACCTCATTCTACTTCAATTTTTTTCATGACTTATTATTCAAAATAATGTGATACAGTGCAAATCAGATTTGCCATGGTCCCTGACCTCAGGCTACTTAGAGTCTCTGTAGGGGTTGCAGAGAAGTAATTAGGAAATCAGAAATCAGTGTGGTCAGTGTTGTGATGAGGAGGCAACAGGTCCTCATGAGAACACAGAGAAGAGGTATCTCTTTTATTCTCTGCATCTCTGGTACCTACTACGGTACCTTGCACATAGAAGGTTCTCATTAAGTCTTTGTTGAATGAATGAATAAACTCAGAATTGGTTGATCACAAGGTCAATTTTGGAGAGGACTTGTGTTTGAGCCAAGTTAGTGATACCTATGGGCAGTAGATGAGTGGAGGGAATTCTCTCATGTGGATGCAATAATATGCAGTGTTGTAGAAGAACAGAAAGCTTAGCAATCTAAATAGTTGACTAAAGCTGTCTATTTGCAAGTGGGGAGTGGTTTCTGAAGGCTAAGAAGAAATAACTCTGACCAAAGTATGTATTGGGCAAGGTTAGCTAAGAACCAGAATTCATTTTTATGAATTAGCATTTTGGTTCTGGCTGTTGTGTTTACCATTACTAGGTTTAGTTTCTAACATGTCTTAAAAATAATGCTCTCCAAATGAATAAGAAGTATTTTTTTTGTGAAGCATGGTACAGTTTTCTCTGGCTCTTACCTACTAGTCTTATTCATACTATCTTTGCTTTAAAACAATACTTTTTTATGCTCTAAATATATCTGTGATAAATTATGAGTTTACCGCTAATAATGGGTCATATTGTGTTTTCGTATGCCAGGTACTGTATTGAGACCCTGCCATGAGTCATTTCATTTAATGTGGAAAGTGGCCTGTCTGTAAGAAAACCACACCTAGGGCTCCCATTTTGCAGAAGTGGCAATAAGGTTTGGGGAAGTTAAATTATGTGTACCCAAGGTCACTTAGGTAAGTTGAATCTAAGTCTGTCTGACTTCATTTAACCACTGAGCTATGTGTGCTCTTTCCAATGTTTCATATGTCTTTTTATTAAAAAAAAAAAAAAAAAAAAAAAAAGGCCTAGAATTTAGTTTTACTTGTGTATATATCCTTAGAAAGTTTATCAGTTAAGTAGGGAAAGAGTTTTTAGTGAAGTAACATATTAAGACTCTCCTAAAAGCAAATTACAGAAACCCACTTTAAACTAGCCAGCATGGCTGGATGCAGATGCTCCCACAACAATTACTGTGCTCTTCCTTTCTGTGTCTCCTCCTTTCTCACCTTCCTCTTTTCCCCTCCTTCTTTATCCCACTGCCTCACTCCCTCTCTCATTATGCTTTTCTTAGGGTGTTGGCCCATTTTCTCTTGTCACAGAAGCAGCCCCAGTTTAAACCAGTTCCACATGTGATCCTAGGAAGAGAAAGCATCTTCTCTGGGTGCTCTGGTGGAAATGCCCTGGGGAATGGGGACTGTGGGCTGTGGGAGGACTTTGAACTATATGGAATGTAGCTGTTGGGGTGACAACATGTCCATACTTCATCTTGATAAGACGTGTCATTTGATGGTTGAAAGCTATAATTATTTAAAGATAATGCACAATATATTTTAATAGCTTTATCAAGATATAGTTCACATACCATAGGACTCACCCATTTAAAGTGTACAGTTCAATGGTTTTAATATATTCACAGTTGTACAGCTATCACCACTGTCTAATCAGTAACATTTCCATCACAGAAAGAAACCTTGTACCCATTCACAGTCACTCTATTTTTCGCAAATCTCTCAGCCTTAAGCAACCACTCTTTTACTTTCCACCTCTATAGATTTGCCTATTTTAGACATTTTATTTAAGTGCAATCAGCTGACTTGTGGTGTGTTGTGTCTGACTTCTTTCATTAGGATGTTTTCAAGGTTTATCTGTCTTTGCATATTATCATGCATTTTTTATTAAAATATTATTCCATTATATGGATATACCACATTTTATTTGTCTGTTGTTGATGGACATTTGGTTTGTTTTCACATTTTTGCAATTATGAATAATGCTGCTGTGAACATTTGCATAGAAGCTTTTGTGTAGATTTGTTTTTACTTCTGTGTGTATACCTAGGAGTGGAATTGCTGGTTCATATGATAACTATACCTAACATTTTGAGGAACTGTCTTCCAAGGTGACTGTATCATTTTACATTCTCACCAGCAATGAGTGAGCGTTCCAGTTTCTTTACATTCTTGTCAACCATTACTATCTTTTTGATTATAGACATCTTGGTGGGTGTGAATTGGTATAATGCATATTTTATAAAAGGCTGTTTAGTTTGTTAAATAATGACCGGTTGACTTGTCGTCTTACCTTGTATTGGAGCTTTCCCAGTGGGTTCTGAACCTGCTCCTCCTCAGTCCAGCCAGTCAGGTAGGCAGACCATGCTGATCAAATGATCAGAATATGTTTACTTTTTTTTTATTTATAAATTTTATTATTTACAAATCTAGACATGGATTATTCTTATTTTCATATTAAGGAACAGGTTATAAATGCCAGAAGTTACTTGATTGAAGATGGAACAGGGATTCGTGTTTAAGATTTATTAGGTGATAGAGAACTGCTTGCTTAAGATCTGCAGTGTCAGCCTACTCTGACATGATAGGTGGCATTCACATGATACATATTCCCACTCGTGTTCACTGTGTTATATGTAGTTCCCAGCAAACTAGTTGTATCTCTGCTGCTTTTTTCTTAGAAATGTGGGGGCAAGAGTAATGTCTTAGGAATAATCTTGATTATTCATGAATGATTGTTCATAAACTTGATTATTTTAATTTTCGTTAGTATAAATTACTTACAGCATACCAAAAACTGAGCTATTTTTTTATATGATACACAATGGTTGCTTCTAACTGCTTTATTATGGCAACGTTCGTTATCAGCCCTGTAGAGCTATTAACATTCACCTTGGCATCAGTATAAAATTTGATACTCTCATGCACAGACAGATGGTCTTCTATTGGTGGCTTTCTCCCTAACTCTAGAGCAGTCTGTGTATCCAGACTCCATATTGAGTCTTGCCTCCTTAGCACAACATAAGAGAATCTATGTTGATCACACCTTATGTGAAAATCTATGTTGATTTCTTGCCACCCATTTTCCACATATTATTGTATATCTTGAAAGTCAAGAACTTGTAATCTAGAATTGCTGTTCAGATCATGCTTAATATTTTCATGGCATCAAGCAATAGCAAGAAGAGATTATACATATCAGCAGTATGCTCTAAATGTGGAAGTAATATGGTGATCTCCATAAGATAAAACAGG